TTTGTGTGTGCGCCGTAAATACCCCAAATCACTGGTGCGGTTTTAACAAGTAACCTTCACAAAATAAATGAAGAAAAGAGTTATGGGGGTGTTTGCTAATTTTGAAGACTAAATGGGTCACATTCTGCAGACTGACAAACCTAAAAGGATAGTTTCCATACTTCACAACATGTAAAAAGAAAAGACCACTGGAAAAGAGGAACTGCAGTGTCTAACGTTATTATTACTTACAACACATCAAACAAATATACGAGAGAATAAAAATGAACTGCTCTCACCTCCACGATTTTGCTGTAGTTACCGGTCAAATCCCCAGTCAAGACAATGATTTTAAGACGAGAACTCAATTCGCCAAAGTCCGTAAGAAGCGGATGCAATGCCTGTAAGACAAAGGCGTGATCGAGCCACATGCCTTTATATGACAGCTGGCTCCCCACAATTGCAATAACAAAATCATCGGGTGAATACCCCATTTCTTTGAAATTTGAACTATCTTTCATTGAAACCATTTGCTTATCAGCTTCCCAAGCTTCTTTTGGAGAGCCAGAGATGACAAAATAGTTCCCAGGATCGCAAGCCGAATAAGTCATCTGAAGTCAATTCGAGTAAACAATTAATATGAATAAAAAGTGCCTTCCGAAGACTTTCATTATAAATCACTACAGTCTCTTCACAATTTTATCTTCAGTAAATTATAGATCAAGAACCAGAGAAAAAATAAAATAAAATAAAATAAAATAATGTTTACCGGCAGAATATAGTTTGGGAAGACAATAACAGTGGCTCTCGAGAAGAGTTTTCTCCAGATATTGATCGGCTCACTTTGACCACTCGAAACATATTTTCTCAAACGAGAAGCAAGTGCCTGTTCATGGATAGTCCATACAAGAGGGACATTTCTAAAAGGTTCCTGCATGAGACTAACAAGTAAAACCTTTTATCTTTTGGCAAAATGATCTTGGCCAATAGAAAACAGGTAAACCTTCATAAGGACTAAAATCATCCAGTTCACGCAAGCATATCAATGATTGATCATAATTAATACACAACTTTAAAGAAACAATTTTTGTATTCTACTATTCCATTGATAGAAAGATAAAAAAACAAAAAATTAAATGAAAAGGATAGTTAAGAAGAGAGAGCCACACTACAGAAAAATAAATAAATGGGTCTGGCAAGTGTAATGAAATATAGATATGACATAAAATTAATGTATCAAATAGTTTTTTTTGTGATGGAAAACTACATTTGAGTTCTGAAAGTAGCCGTAGCAATGGCTAGCTGGCATGACATGATTACAAAGACAAATGACACGATTGACACGACATTACCCGAAACACAACATAAAAAACATGAAATAAAAAAGTCAAATTCAGATATACTATCATATTATTAATAAAATAAAACAAACCCCTACTAGAGGGAACAAATTGTTAAGTCCATCTAATATATAATGGAATGCAGAACGAAATGGCATTGCTTACCAAGACAAGAAACCTGCAGCATTAAGAGAATTCACAAGTACGCCATCATAGCTGCAAATAAGAAGCATAAAAATTAGAACATATAAAACCACTTTTTACGCTCTTCCCCAATCTGCCTAAAATTTTTACTATTGAGAACCTATGGTAGTTCAGTATAAAAAATTAACATGCAGCTATACCAAATATGCAGTAACAGACATTAAATTACAGAAAAAGAAGTGTGTAAAGACAATTCATTTTCTAGGGAAAAAAAAAAAAAAAAAGTAAGTACCCATGATATTTAAAGTGGAATTACTTAAGACAAACATAATTATGTGTGCAGCAAAATTGACTACACATAAAAAAATTGCTAGTACTTTATGATAACTGGTGCAAAACTAAAATAATCTAGGAGGAAGATGTATTAAAAGAAATACATAACTCAAACGCTACTATGAGAGGATATCTCTTATCATTTATCGATAAAATTAAAGGAGTGACCAAAGAAAGTGACTGTAAGGGTAAACCCGATTCGGTGTGTGCAAAGGTTAAATTAACCTTAAATTAGCATTATTCAACTTCTCCATCAGATGCTCTCTCCTAATTACATCAACTTTCAGCTTGCTTTTTTCTAAAAACGCCACCATCTTTTGATTCTCCTACATTGCAGATTTTTTTGCGAGCATTCCAAAAAAATGGGGGACCATAAAAAAGATCAAAGATCATGCAATAGCTCAGACAATCCTGAACATTCAGAAAACATAACAAATGGAAACACAAAAAACAGATAAAAATTTCATACGTAAAAACATATATGACAGCAAATTCATACTTTAGCCAATCTACACTGCACTTAGTGTTCTCATCACCCACGTTGACAGTCAGAGGAATTCCCATCTTTCTCCAGATAGACTGAGCTGGACCTTTTTCCCATGAAATAACCTGTAAACACCAACATCAATTATGACACCATAAAGAAGGGGGGACGGTATTTGACTTCTAAACTCCATCACATTTTTTCAGAACTATCATCTGTTTGATATCTCCTACTTTATGTGATACTCGTAAAAAGATCCAAAGTAAATTTGCTCAAGACACCCACTAATTATGCATTTCACTCTGCTCTTATCTAAATAAAGTACCAGAATGAAAGATATGATCAAAGGGGCATGATCACATTGACAATAAAAACTTGTCAGACAGCTATCAAAAACTCCATCAAAACTACCCAGCTACGTAATAAAACCGATAAAGATGAGTGCAGAAAGTAGGAACGCAAATAGCAGATTAGTTAAGAACCTCAATTCCATATCCGATTTCCCGCAATGCTCTAGCAACTGTCGCCATTAGTATCTGATGTTGATCGATCCACAGATCCGAGAATACCTACAGATAAATGTCGAAAAATGCCATCTTTTAACAATACTTTTCCAGCTTCTAAGCTACTAGCTAAATTGCTCAATACACGTACAAAAATAACAGATACCAATGCCAAACCAAATGCACTAAAAGCATAAATAAATAGGATGAATTAAATTCAAGGTGCTTACCAGGGCAAGCTTTGGTTTTCTGTACCCAAATCTCAAAACATTCTCAGAACCGACACTTTTCTTCGCTACATCAACACCCTTGCGAAACTTCTCCGTGATTTTCAAAGGCTCAAACTTCAAATCCTCACCAAAATCCAACTCTTTCAAGAATGTCAGATTCTCCTCAACATCCCTCCATGAAAAATCATGGGTTCTTTCGAATTCACCAGATTTAACTCCATCCTCCGTGACGGAGCCAGGCAAGTAGAAAATCTGTAAGAGGAAAACAAATAAGAAAAAGACGGCCACCCCACAAATCAACTGCAGATAGTCAATCTTCTTGCAAAGCACAAATCTGGAAAATCTTGATCTGCTCCTGCTGCTGTTACTGTTACTGTTCCTAACGGATGAAGAATAACGCAGCAAACGGTGATCCCTTTTCAGTGGCGGCCCGCTTTCAAGTGAACCCATTTACATACTCGTCGGTAAAAAAAAGGGGAGCCGCAAAATTGAATCTTTATAGCTTATATACGTTGGTAGCTGTACGAATAATTTTCCCTTAACAATGGGGAAGAAGATCAAGAATCAAAAAGGGCTGCTCTTCTAGGAGGATTAGATTATGGGCTTTGGATATTTTCTTGTTTCTGACCAAAAAAGAAAAATCTACGACTAAATCGGAGTTTTATACGAACTACAAATTGCTAATCTTTCGGCCCTTTTTATCTTTTTCCTTTCTCTGTACTATAAAAGAAGTCAAGTAGAGCTTGTGAGTATGTGTGTGAGAGAGAAACAGATTGAGGAATAGAGAGAAGACGAAGAACATCTAATGGAGTACTGAGATCTGAAAATGTGTATGTAAAGGATGAGAGATAAAATGTTCGTCTGTTAAGTGTAGGTTAATTAACTAATTAAGTTTAATTAATAACTAATTAGTCAAGTATGGTCATAATTTTTCACTTGAGAGGGAGTCTTCTATTTTTATCTTTTCTTGTTTAGTATTAGTAGGTGTTAAATTATTAATACCGCTATTCTAAAGTGCCTTCTTGATTTACTTAATAATAGAATAAGTTAAGTTTGAAAAAAATTGATTGAGGGATGAACTGAGTGAGATTCTGAGTTAAAAACAAGATTGAAAGTGAGAGTAGTAAAAAAATGTGAATGAATGAAAAATAAATTAAAATTGATGTGACGTGTGAGACATTGTTCTTCAACTCAGACCGGAAGGGTCGGCCCGAGACCTGATCGACCCAGAGCTGAAACTGGTTCGGGTGGGTGATTTGGATTTTGAAACCCGTGACAATGGACTTGGCCAAAACCCGATCAATTCCACATTGACACGGGCATGTACTCGACTAGGTCAACCCGATTTGACCCGGTTAATATAATTTTTAAAAACATATATTTGTCTTTTTATCTTAAAAATAAAAACTATGCATGATAAATATTTATTATAAGATACAATATTATAAACGCTCTAATGTACAAAATTCATATACAAAACAATTATATTTGTTGCTTTCAAGTATATTTATATGATGAAAATATTATATATAATTTTAAAATTTTAAAAATAGTTATTCGATTTAGCAATTGACTCGGTGACCCAGAGTGACCGGTGACCTAGATACCTCTTCGGGTCAATTCCGCGTATGAGTTCAAAAACTATGACGTCAAAATTACCCACTGCCGTTTTGTAGAACTTAAACAAGGAAAAAAAAAATAAAAAAAAAATACCCATCAAAACTGTTCAGTTGAAATAGTGAATGTTAGGATTTGGTTGAAATATGAAGGGCTTGATTGTTTATGAAATAATTTGTTCAAATTGAATTATTTTGGTTAACTATAGTTAATTTTGAAAAAGGTGGTATGGTTAGTTGTAGTGAAATTTTAAGAATGTATTAAAATAATATTTAAAATAAAATAATTAAAATTGATTTGATGTAAAAGTAAGAGATAAATGATTGAAAATGATTGGAAATGATAGGTAGTTAAAATTATGTGAGTGGATGAATAGTGAATTAAAGTTGATGTGATGTGTAAGCATGATTGGTTTGTATTATTTAATTATATGAATAATATTAAAGATAGTGGGGTTGGGTTAAAGTTGAGTTATATTTTGAGTTGAAATAAAAGTGAATAAATTATTTTGTAAACAATCACCCCGAAGTAATTCGGGTACATGTTGGTTGACTTATTGTCTCTATATTAGATTTCACACTAATTTTGCACGCTGCGATTTATTAGGATTGAAGCATTTTCAACATAATAATTCACATAATAATGGCTGATTAGGTCAATCATATCATCTTTGTAATTATAATTTATATTCATACCATCAAATAATATACTTTTAAAATGATTCAAACAGTTGTTTGTATTTAGTTGTATGTATGTAATGTTGTTAAATTAAAGAGTTTGGCTCGGCTCGACTCATTAAGGCTCGAGTTCGAGGCCTTAACGAGTTGAGCTCGAGCTCATTAAAGTTCGTTTGGCTAATGATCCGAGCTCGACTCGGCTCACTAAGTCTCGAAAATAGATTTTTTCTATATTTTTTTTATAGTTCGGCTTGTTAAAGCTCGACTCGATTTCAGGCTCCTTTACTTAACAAGTCGAGCTCGTTAAAGGCTCGAGCTCGAGCTTGAGCACCCTAAGCTCGAGCTCGTCTCAGCTCTTTTACGGATCTATATGAATGGCATACCTTTCTTATTATTATTTTTTTCATTAGACATCCACATTCAAGTATTCTAAAAAAAAAGTGTTAAGAATTCTTTTAATATTTAATTTGGATTATAAAACTTTATCAATATGCATAACTTAATTTTTAATACTATGACCAAAAAATAAAATGAATCAAGTCAAATCATATGTAAATATATTTTAGAAGTGTGAACAAATATTTTATATTTATTTGTGATTCATAGTTGGTGACTCATTTTCAATATTAAAAAGCTGTCAAAGACCCAAAAGTGTTCAGACATTACCTCAATTGTTGAGGTGGTTGTCAAAAAGATGCTTGTATATTTCATTAATAATAATGACTAAATGATTTTAATT